GCTTGTAATATTGACATCCTAAATTATAATATTGATTGAATATTTTTGCCTTTTTCAATTTCCAACATACTAAGTTTCCTAAATAATAATGTCAATACTTTTTCAGTTAATACTGCATAAAGGTCATTGAATTAAAACAATGAAATACAAGGTAGTAAGATTTGTAACAATATAATAAAAAGTAAAAAACAACAAATTTCCCAGCATATGATCCAGACTAATAATTAAATGCTATACTTTTTTCTAAGGATCATTTCTGCTCATCAAGAAACTTCATGATTCAGGTCTACAGAGAATCTATCTTAATCTGTACTACATGAATCCGAATCCCAAAAATGCCTTTACTAGGTTTTCTCTGGCAAATATACACTTTGCTTCTGTAAGAGCATGCTTAAAAAAGTAAAATTCATTCTGATGTCACATTGATTTTTGAAGCACAGGGAGAATTAAAGATTATTTCTAAGGTTACACTGATGTTCAAAGACATTTTTAAAGCCATGATGCTGCTTGCTTCTTTATTTGATGGAATTTAGTGGAATGAGATAATAAGCTTCTCACTGTGTTCAGGGCAACCTCTTCCCCACAGCATAAAAGGATCAGATCCCATCCTTCTCTGCCTGGAGAAAATCTCAGATTTGTTAACCTCTTTGTTCAGGATAAGAATGCGTTTTTTAAATAATTTTCACTGTAGGCCTATCTACATTATACTTATGTTTTTCAGTCACTATCAAAAAAGACAAGCCATATTAGATCTGTGACCATATGTCACAGGACATGCCTTTAATGCAATGACATTCATATAATAAGTGTAGTCCCTTATGTAGTTCTAGCATTGTGAAACTAAACTGCTTTCAATTATGCTTCTTTGCCTGTTGTATCCTGAGGATTACTTTGATGGCTCATGGCTGCTATTGGCAATGTATGGCCTTTTGTAATCTAAAATATTTATATTTAATACTTTATTCTTAAGTCAGTGTTACCCTCAGTATTAGTTTTTCTGTAAAATTTATATTTATTTATTTGTTTATTTATTTATTGATTTTGTCAATTGCTTACAAGGTAATAGGTATAAGTAAAACATAGTTATGAATACATGGATACATATAAGAAAATAAAAAAATAAAAGAAGCAATAGGACAGGGACGGTACAAAACAGTATACACAAATAGACTAATATATTATTTATTTATTTTATTTATTTATTTGATTTGCCAATTGTTTACAAGATAATAAGTATAAGTGTATACATAGTTGTGAATACATGAAATGGGTACATATAAGAAAAATAAAAGAAGAATAAGAGAAACAATAGGACAGGGACGGTAGGCACGTTGGTACGCTTTATGCACGCCCCCTACAGACCTCTTAGGAAAGGGGTGAGGTCAATAGTAGACAGTCTAAGGTTAAAGTTTTTGGGGTTTGGGGAAGAAACTACAGAGTCGGGTAGAGTATTCCAGACATTGACCACTCTACTGCTGAAGTCGTATTTCCTGCAATCAAGTTTGGTGCGGTTAACTTTGAGTTTGTATCTATTGTGTGCTCTTGTGTTGTTATGGTTGAAGCTGAAGTATTCATTGACAGGTAGGACCTTGCAATGTATGGTTTTATATACTATACTTAGATCGGACTGAAGGCAGCGTAGTTCTAGGTTTTCTAGGTCTAGAATTTCAAGTCTGGTTGCATAAGGTATTTTGCAATGAGTAGAGGAGTGAAGAACTCTTCTTGTGAAATATTTCTGGACTTTCTCAACTGTGTTAATATCAGATACATAATGTGGGTTCCAGACTGATGAGCTGTATTCGAGTATTGGTCTAGCAAATGTTTTGTATGCTCTAGTTAGTAGTGTGATATTACCAGAGAAAAAACTACGTAGGATTAGGTTAACAACTCTTAATGCCTTAATGCCTTAATGCCTTTGGCTATGTAGTTCCAGTGGGCTCTAGCACTTAGATCATTAGAGGTGAGTATTCCAAGATCCTTGACAGAGTTTGGATCACCAAGTGTTGAAACTTTAAATAAAATTGTTATTTTCTAATGTACAACTTTGAAAATTAATTTTTCAGATTTCTACTGAGCTCTATGTAATTGCAATATATGTTAAATTGCCAGAAAATTGATAAACGAATGTGATGAAATTCTGTGAAGGGTAGAAGTAGGCCTCGATTTGCAACCTTCATTTAGTGACTGTTTGAAGTTATAACACCGCTGAAAAAAACAGACTTATAACTAGTCCTTGGACTTATGACCCGAACAGTATTCCCATGATCACCTGATCACAATTCGGCCACTTGGCAACCAGCATATATTTACAAAGGTTGGAATCAGATGATCACTATTTGCAACTTTTGCAACCAAACAAAATAAATGAGGGAAGCCAGATTTACAACTGCATGAGTCACTTAAACACCATGGCAAAAGTCATAAAATCAGGTGTGACTCACCTTGCTTATTTTAGTCCCAATTGTGGTTGTAAATCAAGGACTGTACTTGAATTGGAAAAAAAGTATAATTTTTTAAATTAATAAATGATTATTATTTTTAACCTTTTTGCCAAATGCCCTCACACTCATTTTACATAGGTAGCTTTTTACCTTGTTGAACTTACCTGCCTGCCTGGCTTTCTCACTTAAATACTTTTTGTTTCTAGACAAGATAAGAATTTTTTTTTAAATGTGGGACATTGGGAAAGCCAAACTTCTCCATGTGATGTTTTATTTTTCAATGTAAGATTCCTAAACCTCACTAAAAGGAGTACTAAGGAATCTTTTTACTCTAAATGGGTAAAGGGGGAAGCAGACATACTTGGTTCTCAAGAACAGACCAAGAAGTAAAAAATGGAATGAACCAGGTCTGTAAAAAATGAGACATGTGAAGACATGAAAAAGTGCTGTGAACACTTCAGTGCAATGTAGTAATCTATATATGTATAATTCTGTCTGAGTATCCAAACCAACTATGTCATCATTTTTTCCCATCCTTTCTCTTCCAGTCTTTTTCAAGATTTTGTATATTTTAGAATGTAACCTTGATGATAGGAAATTTTATTAAATTTTATTTATTTAAAGAATTTTTTAGACTGCCTCACTTACAGTTTGTGACTCTGAATTTAGTACATCAATAAAAAAAATTAATAAAATACCGTCAGTGCATAGCTGAGTCTGGGCATAATAAAACTGGGAGGTTGTTGAATTGACTGTTGAGGTAAACATGCTTTAAATAAGTAAAATATATAATGACCACGTGCTCTTAACGAGGCACCCTATCTACACTTTTTTTACTAATTATTCAGGCAACTGGCTTATTCATAAAATTGATGCCAATTTATTTAGAGAAACTTTGAGTTGGGAATGGGAAAAATGTAAATGCCTGCATAGGTCTTTAAGGAACTAATACATTAACTAGTGGAAGTAGGTCATAAATAAAAGAACAAAACTTTTCCAAGTTGCTTTCCAAGTGACTATCTTATAATACCACCTGGTGTTAAGGAGAGTAATAGCAGTACAATATTTTCCACTTTTGTAGTAGCTGATCACGTAAGTTTGAGATGTTAAATACTCCTTTTCGGATGAACTCTTTAGTGCAGAGGTCTCCAAACTTGGCAAGTTTAAGACTTGTGGACTTTAACTCTTCAACTATGCTGGCTGGAGAATTCTGGGAGTTGAAGTCCACAAGTCTTAAAGTTGCCAAGTTTGGGGACCCCTGCTTTAGTGGCTGGCTTAAATTTCTTCAAGTAGCTGGCATTTACTGGAAATGTTCAGTCATAGAATGGTATAATTCCTTCTGATAATTGACTCATGGAAATAGATGAATGTCTGCAATTAGCAATGTCTAATTGATGTTGCTGCTTAGTGAAAGAAGAAAGCATTCCTGACCATACTTTACCTTTAGCAAAGGACAAAAGTTAATACTGTACTGAGTTAAATTTATTTAATAAATGGAATAGACCATTCTTCCTGAAAAAGATGTCTTTCAAATCTGTTCAGATATGTCTCTCATAACCCCCACAGTCAGCATAGCTCTTGACCACATAGGATGACTATAGTTGTAATCCATCCCATTTGGAAGTCTTTGACAGCCTTTATAAAGTACATTTGTACTCCACTGAGAAAAAAACACTGGGAGGGAAACAGGTGTGGGGAATTCAAATGCAGAACTCTAGCTTATAGCATTCTTCTTCATTGTTGGCTATAATGATTGAAATGAAAAAGAGTTATGTTTACAATTATTAAGGGATCATCAGATCAAGTAGCCTGACCTACTAAATAGCCATGAAATCAATAATATTCTTGTCCATATAGCAAGATATATATTAAAGATAAACCTACATTCTGAGTTTCTGCAGAATTCATGGTAGGAAGTCCTAGATGACAAAAGGAATTTAGACATCACTGTCTTTAATGTAAATTTAGCTAATTTTCCCTGATTTTGCCTGCTACATTGAATATCCTTAAGATGTTATTATCCTAATGCAAACAAAAAAAATGTGTCTGTTAGCTGTGCTGAAATGCAAAGGTCTTGCCTAGTTCTCCTTTGCTGTAACTTCTTAAATGTCCTAATGTAGTATTACTTGGCAGGAGAAAATAAAGTTGGAGTATTGTTTTTAACTGATTGAATTAGTCTGTAGAGATTCTCAGTCATCCAGGTCATGTTGTCCCAAAGGTGTTTTTTTCAGAAGGCAACTGGACTTTCCTGTTTTTTCTTCGAAGACGTTTTGCTTCTCATCCAAAAAGTTTCTTCAACTCTGACAGGATAGTAGGGAATGGAAGGATTTATATTCCTTGCAGACACCTGGTCATTTGCATCCTTTTAGAGCAGGGGTGTCAAACTTGCGATGACATGTCATCATGTGAAGTATCACAACTTTGACACCCCTGTTTTAGAGGTCGTTGAAGCACTTAGAGGTTTATCTGTGTTACCAGAGTTACCTGAATAGTGTAGAAAGTACTGTTGCTTTATCTAAGAAGCAGCATTGTTGCTGACATCTCTCTTTATGCTGGCAGGAGTAGGAACTCCCAGGGGAAGGCTTACTACTGTGAAGGCCTTATCAAGATCTTCAGCTAGTTCTGGCCTCAGTTCAAAGGTGCCCATTAGAGGACCAGGACATCAGAGAACCTCTAGCATCTCTTCAGTCAGCAGCACTCAGAGTGACCAAAGTACTTTCAGCAATGATTGTAAGTCCATTTTGCAGATTATTGTTCAACAAATAACTGAATAAAACCCATTGTGGTTCATTATAACTGCTTTTTTTCCTCAGCAAAAAGTGGTAACTGGTAATGCCAGAATTCCAACTCCTATATTGCAATAGCATTCAATAGCTTTAGACAGTGTTTTGGCCCAAATAATGTAGATCTAATTTATCATCCTCATTTTGTAGACTTCCTAAAAGACTGTTGTTCACAAGCATTGATGAATGCTTAGAAATGCCTGGCTGATACACAGAAGGAATTAAAGTCACACAACCTTCTAATGAAAGTTTTTTTTTAATTACTGCTTTGAACTGAGTAAATGAAGATTTGTACAGTACAGATTTGCCAATGGCAAGAGCAATGTCCCATATTAAAGAAAATCAAACCTTCCATATAAGGAAGAGCGATCTTGGGCTACAATGTATGACCTAGGGAGGCAAGCAGTACTAAAGCATCAGTAATGATGTCTTTTTGCTTCCCTTGCAGTTTTGAACCACTATCTCTCCTCCCCCTCCCTTGTGCAATGCTTTTTAAAAGAACAGCCCTGCTATTTAAGTTTTGCAGCATGCCTTTCTCCTAACCACAGATTGGCCCTGAATTGACAGCCATGTTGGCTGCCTTGCCTGCCCACTGGTTGGTCTGTTTACTTCAGTGCTTGAATCACCTCAGGAGGTTGTAAACAGTCTGTGCGATTCTATCCTTGCTGCTAACAAAGGAAAGGGTTTTGCTTCTTAACAGAGAAATGTCATGGTTTCCAGTTCCAGCTTAAAGATCCAACAATGGATGACCTTTTCTTATGTCTGATTTGCTAGTTGGATTAAGCTGCTCTTGTTTCCTGCCTTGAAGCTTACTATTCTCTCTATCTCCCACCCACCCACCCCGCCCACCCTCGATTGTAATTCACTGAGAGCAAGTGTGGGGAATACGAGAGGGTGAACATCATGGCTGCAGTGTTTCAGGCACTGAGCTTGCTTTGATCATTTTAAATGACTGTACCAGGAGGACATCGCAGTTGCACAGAAACCGACTTCTCTCCTCATATTTTCATCAATTCTACTCTTACACCACCGGCAGACTCAGGAAGCCACTATGATGTTACCTTACTGACCTTGCTAGTAGTGGGATCGTACAGCTTTTGTATCATTCCTTTGTTAGCTACATTTTCTGGCAGAAGAAGTAGGTGACCATCCTTTTTTATCTATATCCCTATACTTCTATCTGTGGATAGAAAAAAAGAGGCAGCATGTCTTGCTTTTGTAAATGAAGTGAATGTATCAAATGAAATGCTTTTCCATTCTGTCTTCTTGAAAGAAATCATGATGGAGAAGAGAGGGAGGAATGTGTTTAATTTCTCATGACATAATGCATGTTTGATGCAAATTCTGCATTCTTAAGAAAATCTGGAAAATATATTAGCCAAATTCATTTCCAGCTGTTGACTTTTGTGTTCCTGATGATCTTATACCTGGTTTTTATAAGTATATGCTTTTCCTTCCCCCCAAAAAAACCTGTGCTCTCACCCTCCCCCTTGTCAGCATGTGCATGGCTTTGCTCCATACACTTTGGCATGAAATAAATTGTCTGCAATAACCACTACAGAATTCCTTCCGGTGAAGGTTTCAGCATCTTCAGTAAGGCAGATATATTAAAACCTAATGTATAATTTTGCATGATTGCAAATGTGCTCTTTTAAAAAAAGACAGTTGCAGAGCAGCAGTTCTTCATTTAATATAGGCTCTGTGCTTTGTGTAATTTGCCTCTAAATTGTGTGAGTCCTGTACTGTTTGTGGGCATGTTTTTATACTAGACTGTTATCTTCTTCTCTATAACCCCCAACATTAATCAATTGTTTTGGCTTATAACTGCAGCATTTAAACTGAGGCTGTTTAACAGCTGCCATTGTCTATAGTCTGAATGGTTCCTCAGAAGTGTAAGTCTAAAGAAATCATAGTGGAACAGTCTGGAGCAAGGAAATGAAAAGAAAAAAGAAAAGTCCCCTCTGCCTTTTGCATATTTCAGAATGTTGAGTATTTAAAGTGTACTTTCCCCTTTCACAGGAATAGCCATCTAGCATGAACTCTGAACATGGCAGCTGTGATTGAAATGATAAAAGAATAATAAAAAAATTCAAATTACCTGCAGTTGTTTAAACTATTAAATAATAGGTTACAATATTTTTGTGATCTTGGTAGTTATAGCTCATGCTGCTAAATAAACTTTTCAACAAAGTATTCATTGTCCATAAAGCTTCTAAATAAATAAGTTTTCCTTGTAATGTTGGCAATAGAGGAAACATAGCCCTTCAGATTATGAAGGTATTTAACAGAGATACTTGGCCAATTTCAGGAACAGATGAGTCTTTTCACTCTAGATAATAAGACAGGTACTCAATAGAAAAAAAATGAATATATTTACTTCATCACCTGAACATTGAGAAGAAAATAGCATCTTTCAGACAAATAAAAAACACAGTGATCTATGTTATTAATTGGCTAGTATATTTCACATCATAATCCAAATTTTTTTGTTGTTGTTGAATCAATCTTAACTCTGGCAACAATGTGACAAGTCCATGCAGTTGACTTCTGTAACTAAGCTAGAACTTAGATTAGAACATAACCATTAACCATTAGACCACTCTGATATTAATGTGTGTGTGCATGTGTATCTTCGAGTCAGTTTCTCTATTTTTTTTTTTTTTGCTTTGACTCCAGATTGCCTGGACTAATCCTTATATTTTTCTTGGCAAGGTTTTTCAGAAGTGGTTTGCCATTGCTTCTTTCCTAGAGCGACTGGCCCAAGATCAGTAAGCTGGCTTCGTGCCTAAGGTGGACTATTATTGCTCTTAGTAACAAGCAACAAGACAGTATTGCTTTATTTGAAAGAACAATGTTTTTTCTCACTGATTTAAGCAATACTGGAATTGATTTTTATCTTGCCTTGTTGCCCAATGTACAATTAATCAGTTAATAGCAATGTTAGCTGCTTTTATAAAATTCTAACTAATTCAAACAAACAAAAAAGGCCTATCTTCAAACAATAGTTTTAACTTTTTTTCATAAAAGTAGAAGGATGGGAGAAAAAGCACATTTCCCAAGAAATGTATTCCCTGGTTTCTTCTATGTGTCCCACCAACAGACATGAGTAAGTGAGAATATCTGTAAGAAGGGTCTCCTACTGACTACCGTGGTTCACCGGTTAAATGGTTCAAAGGTTCTTGTTGAGTTAGCCAGGCCCCAAACTCTTCTAGATAAAAATGAATGCTGGAAAATAATTGGTATATGGTGCAGATTTAGAGCAAATATAACCCAGTTACAACATTATTCTGCTTGGTATACCTTCTTGCTTTCACCCAAATTCAGGATAATTCTGTAGAGTGCTGCCACCATTTGCTCCTGACAGTCAGGGAGCCCCCTCAGATGAGATTATCTGCTGTTTTAAGAGAACCACAAGCATGGACAACTTTGTCAGGGTTTGAGTTTTCTACTTTGTATAGTTTGGGCTTAATTTCAGTGTGTTCACCCTCTTTCCTATTGTTGACCATTAGAATGATTAACAGAATCAAGTGCTTCCATGGACTTAGATAGCAGGGAGCAGCAAAACTGTGTGTTATCATATTGAGGGCACTTCAGATTGTGCTTCTAATGCTAAGGCTTTCTTCCTTGTGGGTATAGTTTAATGTGGATTTCAAATGTGTCAATTTACTTTTTAAAAAGTATCCACCTATTCAGATGCCGATTGAGGATAACATTTCATTTAGCTGATGATATGGACTTTAATGCATAAAAAACCTGTGATGTAAAGTCTGTTACTCTTTAAGGTCACTAAGTCTTTTTTGCAGTCTTTGTTGTCATATATAACATCTTCTAGGGTACCTGCAGAAATACTTTAGCTGTGTAGTTGCTACAGAATATTCTGAATATTCTCAAAATGTGTTCATTAATAACTTGCAGTTTATGGGATTTTCCTCCCCAATAGCTACAAGTGCTACTATTATCAAGAACGGAGAATGCACTCCCAAATCTGCATGTCAGAATGGTACTGCCAGATCCATCTCTCTCAAGCCGGTGTCCAGGCCACGAGTCCTTTCACTGAAAAATACACCAAAAGGTATTTGATCTCAGCAATGAGGCAGTGATTGGCTGACGGTAATGGCCATTAGTGAGAAACATACTGGGAAGATGGCAGAAGATTGTTGATTCCTGTTGTTTTCATGTCCACAACCCTGATAAAAAAGTTTCTATTAAAAAGGAGATATTGATTGAAAACCAACACTTAAATTTGCAGTCACAATGCTTATCTTTTTTTAAGTTGGAAGTAACACTTTAGAGCTATTAAATTGCATTAGTGGACAGAAAGGCCTTACAATCCTTAAACCAAAAAGTGGATTGTAATGATTTTTCTTGTCCAGGCATTGGTTATCTTGATAACCTGAAAACAGTTTGAGATCAACTAATAAAGCTCCCTGAAGATAACTTCCTATTTGAGATAGGTTTTTTTTAAATTCTATGAAATGTCTTCCCTTTTTCTTTATCTCCTTGGTTAATCATCTGTTAGAGATACTCTTACTATGGTAGTTTAGTAACTTGACTGCTTTATGTAGATTGGAACCTTAAAGAACAGAATCAATATAAATTAAATATAAATATGATTAGCTACAAATTTATCAGTATAAAAAAAGAGACTTGATCCTGTGTGGATCCTCATGTAGATTGAGCAGGAGAATAGAACTACAGAATCCATAATTTCTCCAGATCTTGATGCAGAAATCAACTGTAAAAGGAAAGATCAGAAACTGCATCCAGTGTTTCTATTTAAAGAAGGAGCATTGGCTTGCTTTCTGTTAGAAGGTTGAAGTGTCCTGAGAAGGATCTGCTGTTAATTTGAATCTTCTCCCAATCTTCATTCTGCAGTCATAGGATTTGAAGAACACAGCTTGGATAACCATTTGGAAGATAACAGGTTGGGGAAGTTTGTTCTCACTGGACCCAGTGCATGATAGAATCATTCAATGGAAATTATCCTATGTTCATCTTCCATCATTGATTTTGAAAGAGCAATTTTACATGTGTAGGCTGAAAGAAGAGCATAAACTGCAAAGCAGCTTCTGGGTTTTCCTTAAAAAGAGTTGAAAAAGCCTTCATCAGTCTGGTGCCTTCCAGATGTGTTGGGTATAGAACCAATCACTCCCACCTAGCATAGCCACTTTGAAAGCTGAATATGTAGCATGTTTCTGTTAACTTTAAAAAGAAGCTGATGTTTGTCCATAGTTTTGAGGTTTACTTGATATTTTATGTACTGTATTCTAACATAATTATTTTATTGACTTTTTTTTTTCTTAAGGAGCAAAAGGTAAATTAGCCTTAGTGAACCAATGTGTTCCCAAGCCTGCTGGACCTATTCTTCCAGGGAAAAGAACAAATGATCTAAGAGGGAGTCAACGATTAGGTAAAATGATCATTTCATTCTTGTGTTGTATTGATATAATTAAGATGAAAATCTACATATTTTATGTCTCCTTTTCTATCACTATTAATTAATTGGTATGGCATTCGCTCAGTTTACAAGAGCTAAGTTGGGTGAATGTGATTAAAGTAGGTTTTGAATATTTTACTGAATACAGAAAGATTCTATCACTTTTTTTTTTCATGGTCTGGGCAAAATTCTCATTTACTCAGTAAATTAGTTGCAAAATCCATTAAGATGCTACACCAGCATTGGAGAAACTAAAATGAAGTCAACCTTCAGCCATAAATATTTACTGAATAATTTAGAGTCAGTCTGTCCAACCTATTTCACAGGCAGGTTGTTAAGAGAAAAATGGAGGGTGAGAGAAATACATTTTATTTATTCTTATGTATTAATTTATCAAATTTCTACACTGTCCAATTTTCTAAGTGACTCTGGGCAGTTTACAAACAATATACATTCTATTATGTCCTTTCCTGAAGGAAAGACAAATAGTAAATCTGGCAATTTTACCAACTTTGGAACTCTGATCTCAGCTATAATTGCATATTCATTTCTGAAAGATCATATGGAAATATTTAATTGAGAAGGTTCCACACATTCCTTGTCTCAAATGAAAGTAGGCAATATATCTTACCGGCAGACTTCTTTTCCTAAGGGTTTTCCAGGAATCAATAATTAATGTTAGGCTGCTATAATTATATTAAATCTATCTGGGGAATTTCTAACCCTTCCAGCAAAGTGTTCTCTATTCAGGCTACCCTTAGGAAAGATAGATTTTTGGATCTTTTTGCCTAGAAATATAAATTGCAAAACACAGTAAACTTTGGATCTTGAAAACAAGAAGATGACAATGCAATCTTGTATGTAGGAAAGATTTTAATGGAAAATTTAATTTTTAAACAAATAAAACCCAATCTCCAGATCAGAGGATTTCAAACTTTTTCAGATGAGAGACAGAGAGATTTCCATTTCTCCCCAGAAGACCTAATTAAGAGACAAAATTTGAGTTATAGAAATTTGTTGGCCCTTTTCACCTTACACTGTGTCTCTTGGTAGAATTACAATTTCTCATAGAACACAGGATTGACAGAACTAACTTTGAAAAATCCTGCTTTAAAGATAAGAAAAAAAATATTTTCTGTCTTCCCAAAAATTTCTTTCCACTTTTATTTAAAAAGGTGAGGCTGCTTGGGAGAACAAAAAATTAATTCCATATATGTACAACTTTAGTGATGGGTCATGAGCCACGACAGTCAATGCATTTAAAAAGACCTAGAGTAGCAGGCTTTGATTGGAAAAGCACCCAAATCTCTCCTGATTATCTTTTCACAAATATTCCAGGAGTGGTTTCTGTCCTTTATTAAAAGCAGAACTTTTAATAAGTTGAATAAAACCTTCTCCTTTTGATCTGTTAATATTCAGGAGCTGATACTGAGACAAATATATTGATTTCAAGATTAATAGCCAAACATATTTAAATGTTTTTGCAGGTAAAGGTCTAATATGATCCATAGAAACCTCTTGTAAACCTCATTTTGTTGGTGAGTTACATGCCAAATTAGAATTTTATCTTTTCCAGGACCTTCAGCACAAAATGGATCACGGCTTTTATTGTCAGTCTTTAGCTCTGGTGAGTAGTTTAAGCTTTCCCTCCTTATTCACTCCTAAATGTTTTATGCCATCACAAAATATTCCAGCCATGTAATGTATATATAGGTGTTTGGGAAATGTTACGTTCATGTAAGTACACAACTTAAGACGGTGAATACTTTGCGGGTATAATAATTTGATGCTTAAATATACAGGTCTCACATTTAGAGTTTGTGTACCTATGGTGATGAAGCTGCATATCTCTTTTCCACTTCTTGATCAAATGTTTATGGATTACTTGGGCCACTTGGATCTGTTACAGAGAACCTTGAATGTTTTTGTCTATATCAGGGGTGTCAAACTGGCGGCATGTGGTCCAGATGCGTCACGCAGAGGCCATACCCAACCCAGCTCCGTGAATGGGAAAAACATCATGAAACATCACAGGACGGCAATGTGATGCCACAAGTTTGACACCCATAGTCTATATTGATTTTATTCTGTAAACTAGAATTTAGCTGTAAATAAAATAAAAATTAGTGGTGGGATCCATTTTGAGGACAAAATAACTATCCAGCATCCTTCTTGTTCCCACCTGTCTCATCATCTTCATATAAGATTCGTTCATGCTTACATTTAAAGCTATCATCATCATCATCACATTTAATTTTGTCCTGATATAATAAATATATTGTTGATT